AATACAAATCAGTAATTATATGATTGTCTTTAATATGAGATACTGTGTCGAAAAAAACATGTTGCTCGTTTGATACTTCAGAAGTGAACTTTATAGATTTGTGAAAAGTATTAGCTCTGTAAAGAAAATCTTGCAAAGCTTCTTCCCCGTGACAATCTAATGGCTTGTAGAAGTTGGTGTCTTTGAGCTGACGTTCGGCTTCTGAAACATAGTGGTCTCTGTCCAAGATGACTACAGCTGAGCCCTTATCGGCAGGTTTAATAACAATATCAGTTCTGTTTTTGTAGCTATTAAGAGCTTGTTTCTGTGGTCTTGACAGATTATTGTAATATGACGATTTTTCACAAACCTATATATATATATTTCACGCCTTTTTTATTTCATTTTAATGACCAGTTACTTAGTTGTAATATAAAACAATTAAATATTGTTTAAATATTTGTTTTCAGATAAAAGATCTTAAGAAGCAGATGTAATTGAATAAATCAAAAATATATCAAACTATTACGGCGTATACTATAGCTTGATTATTTGATGTGAACGACAAACTTCATTTCATCGTGTTTTGCTTATTTATTTTTTTTTTGAGAAGAATGTTTTTGTAAGGAGCATGGCAGCACAGATTTGTCATCTTGGTGTGCCACATTGTTCGGACTGACTTCTTTATCTGTCATTATTGGTCTCAGTTTGGCTCGAACAAGTATGTCCCTGAGGCTTTTAGGTCTCCTGTATGCAATGGTTGATTTAGGTGGGAACATCTTGTTAAGTTTCTGTGAAGACTCAATAATTGGCCAATGTTTGTCAATGATGGCTCTAGTGTTAGGTAAGTCCGGGTGATATGTGAGCACAAATGGAATTTTATTTTGTGTAGAACCACAAGAGTGATGTTTGTACTCTAGTAGTTCCTTCCTGTGCTTGCTGTCTGCATTTAAGATCGCGTTTGCAATGTCTTCTTCCTTGTATCCTCGCTTCCTAAGATGTTCAGACAGTTCTTTTGCTCTGATATAAAACGTGTTGGAATTTGAACAGATTCGTTTGATTCTCAAAGCCAAACTGTATGGTATGTTCTTACAACATTGTCGAGGGTGGCAACTGCTTGGAAGAAGATATTGATGTTTATCGATGGGTTTTGAATACAAATCAGTAATTATATGATTGTCTTTAATATGAGATACTGTGTCGAAAAAAACATGTTGCTCGTTTGATACTTCAGAAGTGAACTTTATAGATTTGTGAAAAGTATTAGCTCTGTAAAGAAAATCTTGCAAAGCTTCTTCCCCGTGACACCGTTGCATGTCAATGTCATCTATATAGCGTAACCAACTGAATTGTTTAAGAGGTACTGCAGCTAGCAGTTGTCCTTCTACTTTGCCCATAAACACGTTGGCGTAAGATGGCGCCATTTTGGTCCCAATAGCCGTGCCCTGTACCTGTAGGAAATGTTTGTCACAGAAAATAAAGTTGTTGGATTTCAGAATAAGCACGAAAAGTCCGATAAGTGTTTCTGTGGGAAGATTCTTTATTATACGAGAATCCCATGCTTCTTTGCACGCTGCAATGCCATCTTCGTGGGGGATGTTAGTGTATAATGCAGTAACATCCATAGACACCAAAAGGGTTTGGTCAGGTAAATCTTTCTGAGATTCTAATTTTCTTAGATAATCAGTGGTGTCCTGCAAATGAGAAGGCAACGCGCATACAAATGGCCGAAGATGGTGGTCGACATATTCTGAGAAACGTTCTGTTGGGTGACCGTTGGCAGATACAATGGGGCGGCCTGGGATTCCTTCTTTGTGTATTTTAGGAAGAAGGTAAAATCTACCAGCTTTAGGCTTAGGGACTATTAAGTAGTCTTTGTTTTTCTCAGAGATGTATCCGTGTTTCAACATGTCTTCAACAACAGAGGATACTTTGTTTGCAAATTCTAGTGTAGGATCATAATCTAATGGCTTGTAGAAGTTGGTGTCTTTGAGCTGACGTTCGGCTTCTGAAACATAGTGGTCTCTGTCCAAGATGACTACAGCTGAGCCCTTATCGGCAGGTTTAATAACAATATCAGTTCTGTTTTTGTAGCTATTAAGAGCTTGTTTCTGTGGTCTTGACAGATTATTGTAATATGACGATTTTTCACAAACCTATATATATATATTTCACGCCTTTTTTATTTCATTTTAATGACCAGTTACTTAGTTGTAATATAAAACAATTAAATATTGTTTAAATATTTGTTTTCAGATAAAAGATCTTAAGAAGCAGATGTAATTGAATAAATCAAAAATATATCAAACTATTACGGCGTATACTATAGCTTGATTATTTGATGTGAACGACAAACTTCATTTCATCGTGTTTTGCTTATTTATTTGTATTGTTTATTTTAAGCAATTAACCAACATATCTTGAACAATAGATTACACATGTTAATTTCACGCTTTCTAGTGTTTTATTGTAATATATCAGATGATTATATTCTTATAAACCACAAGTGAGATTTATAAAATATAATTTTCACTGTAGCCGGACTATATCTGAATTCGGATGAAAAGAAGAAAATCATAACTAAATGGAAAAACAGGCATAAATAAATGCTTTCATACGTAAATTGTGCTTCTTTAGGAAAAGATCATCATGTTAAAATGTAAAAAAATTAGAGAAATTTAACAGAACTATATTTCAAAATTGATGATTTGACGTCATGATGTGATGACGTCACAAAAGAGAATGCGCGACGTTACGTGGCAAAATCAGTAGAAAATACTTAAAATCACTTAAAAAGCATGAAATAAAAAGAAAATTTATTTATTTTACATATTAGATATTAATATATTTCATTCGTGAACACCAGCTATTATATGTTCACTCGTGGCAACGCCACTCGTGAAAATATTGCATGTGGTAATCACTCAGTGAAATTATATTTCAATCTTACATGCAAAACAAAATAATATCCTCTACATCGTACTAAAAATGAATTATAGATAAGTGACGGCGGAATTTTCATTATTTGTTTTTGTTTTAAGATACGCTCAAAAAAGAAGATAAAAGGGGAATGGATAGGCGATGTTTAGGCTCTTGTGGTATGAAAATAGATATTTCGCGACGAGTGAAATATCAGAACTTCCATGCCACAATATGCAAATTAAGCCTATATTTATAGAAAGCAAACACTTGAATTTTCTGTTTATCATTTAAATTTTTCTTTGGTTGGACATTAAATTTTGAAAGACTTTCCCTTTGATTTTGAAATTTGACTGAGTTAAGAAAAAGGTAGTCCGAAAAGACACCAGTGGCATAACGGAAATATTTTTCACTGCAGTCATAAGGTTAAAAAAACGAAAATAAACTCATTTTTATGAAATCAAGTATTTCAAAATATAATGAAAAGGGATATCAAGTTTTTATATATATAATTCCGTGATTTGTTTCATCGCGTGATATGAAAATAAATATTTAACCAGTCCTCTTTTTATTTATTTTTAATATGCATATTGACGACAGTAGTTACGACACCTGTGAAATACGAAACATATGTTACACTGCAGTAAAAGCAAACTTATGCAGATAACAATATGGACAATAAAAAACACGCATTTCAGTTCATCAATATTTCTGAAAATTTTATTCATAAATATACAATTAATAAAACAGTTTTCTATTTTACTTAAAGAATCAAACGTGTATGCTTATTTGATAAAACATATTTATGTTGAAAAAGTTAACAGATAATTGTCATCAGTTTTATATTGCCAATTATTATACTATTTTTATAGGTACGAGAATTAATATTGGATTTATTTTTTTATTACTATATATTCTCGAGCAAAAATATGAAAACATGTAACGAAGAAAATATCAGATGTTTGCGTTACTTTTTAACCCTACTATTACATAATTACATATTTAAAAAATGAATATATATATATATATATATATATATATATATATATATATATATATATATATATATATATATATATATATATATATATATATATATATATATATATATATATATATATATATATATATATATATATATAAAAAGTGTTTTCTGCTGAAGTCATTAACAACATACTGCATAAAATTTTACATATTTATTCAAGCCTCGGATCTAGAATGTGACAATCCAAGAAGGCTAAATCCAAGTTGGCTGCCATCTTATGATTTTCAGAATGTTATAGTGTTTCAGTTGTTGTCCTCATTACAGAACAGCATGAAATATATTGTTTTACATTTTAATTTTTATTCAAGTCTCGAATATAGGTTTTGCGAATCCAACATAGCCACAAAAATCCAAGAGGGCCACCATAGTTGTTTTAGATTATTTAAGTCGTTCACCTGTAATCATTTCCGATCATTATGAAATAAGTTTCATTTTTTTTCATTTTGAACCATGCTCATAATTAATCTGTCTTAAAAACAACTTCATTTTAGAACACAATTACAGAAACCGAAATAGGGATTAAACCATCTCATAATTTTAATACTTCACGCCGTTTTCGAAATTTCAAGGGCAAGGAACTTGTAATCAAACTAATCAGTGCCTTATTCCACTGATTAAATATGCAGCCGACCTATTAGGTCAATGTGCAAAAGTTAAAATAATGGTAAAATATCTTTTACGTATTCTGACCAACAGCTATGCACTTTTTCCTGAAATATTAATAAAAGTTGGTTTGGAATTTGTATTTCGTTAAGAATAAGTCGAAAACGTAACCCGTAAACTACCTATGCTAGTTAATGTTCTGATTCAAACGTTACCAGCTTTAATATTTTTTTTTTGGATATAGGGGTGGTAAATTCAGAAAAAAAATTTTTAAAATGATATTTTAAAACATTTACTCAGGTTGTTCATACTGAATTAAGTAAACCCAAATGTTTTTTTTGGTTTATAACTAAAAACCCCACAGTAAAGAGCAAGTAAAATGAAGTCATTTTGTCAATAGTAACACCTTTTTATCTAGCACTGAATGATGGTAAAGTTGAAGTCAATTTTTTTATTATTTTTATTATTATTCCAAAAGTTGTTTACGGAAACTATCAAAACGAAAGAAAAACAAAACTGAACAAATGGGATGCCACATTGATTTTCTACAAACATCAAGAATTCTCAAAAAATAAGCTTAGGTAAGAATAGTTGTTTTTTTTTTTTTTTTGATTTTTTATATAATAAATATTTATTTATTATTTTCTTCTATTTACACTTTTTTTATTTGCTTTTTTGTTTTGTTTTGAAATCCAAAATACTGAGATTAACACGCGACCGTTTGTTATAACGGGAAATATATTCATACGCTAATGAAAGATTTTATCTTGCATTTAAACTGTTATGAACTATACAGGATGAAAATAACAAGATATAAAAGTGGCTACTTGAACGCATCCCCGAAATTCGCAGTTTTCAAAATAGAACAGAACAGAATACATTTTATTACACGTAACGTGTACAGTTTATAGTGTAGCAATGGCAACACATATAAAAAGTATAATATTGAACGATACATATATATTCAAAAAAGAATGAAATTTTGTATGTACTTCTATAACATAATAATGATGAACTGATTTTTTATTAAAAAACCACATGTACGTTTAAGAATAAAACGTGTAATGGCATGTTAAAGAACAAAATAAATCACATGTATTTGCATTATGCGATTCAATATGTGTTATATTTGATAAAATCAGTTTTTCATGGTGCAAGAATCACGCACATTAACAAGAACTATCGGAAGGACAACAAAAAGTAACTGACTGTTCTAAGCTAATCACTCTTTTTTTGCATGTCCCATGTACATAGTACATTTTGGCGGCCAACTTGGAATTTGGCGGATTACTTTGAAATTAAAGATATTGATCCCAGGCTGAAATAAATACTATTTCCTGTCACCATGGCAAGTTTCATGTTTTTCATGTTTTTTCACAGAAGGTACAAATTTTATTTCTGATTTCTTGGACTATTATTGAAATCTTGATGTTTGAAATACACAAAATTGGGTTATCAGTTAATTCCATTTCATTTTGTAGGCTTTGGTTCAATGTTGGTGAACTTGTTTACCTGATTGTGAATTATATTTAACATTTTCCACTGGTTATATATGTCTCAACTTTTTTCTTTTTATTCGTCCAGATTTAAAGTCATATTTATAAAGATTAGTATCAATGCCTCTCAGATACGCTGCATTTCCACCGAATCCTCCATGAGAAATGAGCAAAATATCACATATTGAGAGAGTTAGTTGTTCAATGACAGCATCTTTCAATCCTTCACATGCTTGTCTTTTCAGATTTTTGTCTAATATATCAATATGTTGAACAGACAAATTTGTTTTAATACTGTTATCAAATTTTCTGTAAAATTCATTTCGAATATAATCTGAATCCGACGCTAAATAGAGAACATATTTATTTGGATCAGCAAAGTTTTGCATAAAATTAAATATTACTGTTTCATTTGGTTTTATTTCAAATTGTTTATCATTTGGTATTGTTGGATTTTTACCCATTCGTATATGGCTGCAAACAAGAGATTTCCCTTGTACGTGATACCTATGAAAATGTTCGAAATAGTCTAAAATATACTTTGTTGGCTGGAAAAGTGTAAGCAATATTAACGAAAATATGCTTACTGTGGGTTTTTCTGAGAGCCATGAATGGTGATCTTTGATTTCTTTCCTTCCTTGCAAGTATTTGATCCAATTTGAATTAATTTTTAGAAAAATTACCTGGCTTTGCCATTCCAATTCAAAATCAACTTGTTTAGTGGGTCTTTTATATGTGGGTTGATTCATAACATCGATCAATTTTGTCTCATTTTCACTGATTGTATTAACAAAGTTTCGGCAAATAGACCAGTTATACAAATGCTGTTTAAACACCTTTTCGATTCTACAAGGTGTTTCAAAGTTTATTACAAATGCTCGCGAAGTAGCAACTGCTAATAAAAAGGCCGAAACAATCCCCTTTTGTCTATCTCCTAAACCTCCACAAGATCTCGAGTAGTCACACACATACACTAGAAACTTATGATGGTGACAGTCGCTTTCCCGTTCAACACTTATATTGGTTAAACGTATTGTCCTCAATATATCTGAATAATCCAGTCGTAATTCTCCATTAATTCTTGGTATTACACTACCTTGATTCCGGAAGCCTGACATAATGTTAAACAGTGACGCGTTTCCAACTGGTGTTGATCTTATGCTGGTGAAAGTATCAATTGCAGAAATTGGAATTTTGATATGTTTGTTGAAATACAATATCACGAATCCATTCAGTAAAACTGAAGCCTGAAATATGAAATATACAATTTAAAAAGAAAAACGTGTCAATCTGAAGTCTAGCTTTCTGAAACAGCATATTTGTCGCTTCGAAATATTAAAATGTCACCATTATACTGGCTTCGGTATAAACTAAAACATGCTTAAAACGATGCCTGTTGCCCAATCGTGTACGTTCCATACTAACATTATAATTTAATTGCTGTGAAAGTGTAAGGATTATTTTATGGTTACAGTTCCACGACTAGTAAATGATATTAAGTTGGTATGGAACGTTATATCTAAAATGAAACAAAAATATTTTTTTTTTCGAAAAACTATTGAGTAATAAATCATATACAAAATATATATAAATGTTCCTTGTCGATAGTTAAAATGAGGTCAGATTAGTCCATAATAAAGTAAACAAAAGCGTCGTAGTATTATGTATGGTAATTTATGTCATAACTTATAAATGTATGTCATTGATAAAGTAGCAATACGTTATATGTTTCAACCACAATAACGCTAGTTCGCATTTTTTGTCAAGGCATGTTGTGCATGTGTTATATTTGTCTGTCAAATTATTTTAGTGCATCTCTATTGCACGAGAGTCAGAATCACAGCAAAATGCGAAACATGTTTAATAATTGACACGTTTAGATTATAAATTTACGGTTTACACCAGAAAAATCATATATTTGAGCGTCATGTAAACGTTCGAAAAATGAACATGTACCACACCTAAGTATATGTAGGATTTTATTGCCTAAAATCAAAATATTATTAATGGCACGTTACTCTCTGTAGTTTAATAAAATGCCTTTATATGTTTTGCTATAAGTGCTGTTGAACTAATATATCAATAATTATGTAAATCATTGAAAGATAGGCACATCTTTTCAATAATGTTGCAAACTATTTACAGTCACAAACGTAAAGATATGGGTATTTCAGAGTAATTGTGGCGTAAATGAAAAAAGTAAAACGTTAACAAAAGTCCCAAGCAGCTGTCTTCCAATATATATGTAGTTAAAAAGTTCCTAGACATGCGCTTTTTCTCATATCGGTATTGATTGTGACAAAAATAAAGGAAGAAATAAGCCATTTAAAATGTTAACAACATTTGAAGTATCTAAACAAATATATACACTACTTAATTTTATACAAGCATGCTGTGTAGCACCGGGCAGTTATGAACGTTCTGAAAGTTCATCGGAGCTAAAATATAAGCTGAATACACACAAGTCTGTGCCACTTTTGCATTCTGATATTGACAATGCCCTCAAGGACTTCTGAAGGATATGCACACAAAAGAACATAGTTAAATAGATAAAACGGAATCCCTTAGTTTGTTTTGATGATGCGCACTTATTTTATACTACTTAAACTTTGCTTAGCGCTAAGTTTTCTGCATAGCATCGTGCATTCTACATCATTTAATGTTTACATTGTATGTCTTGTAGTAATGTATTGACAGTGTACCCTGTGTACCCATAACCTTGAATGATGGTATGGACAATACAGAGCCTGGGCAAGTTTCCAACGACATGGATGTGTGTGTGTGTGCGTGTGTGTGTGTGTGTGTGTGTGTGTGTGTGCGTGTGCGTGTGCGTGTGTCTGTCTGTCAAACCATACGTACATGTTTGCATGGATGTTGTCTATGATCGAGATACAATGAATACGGATCCCGTTGTCTATAGACCAATGCCGGCTCCGATATGATTGGGCAATGGACCATGTTAGCAGGAGCAAAATGTACTGGCGGCCTGTTTTTTTCATTGACGTTTCAAGGTACTGCCTGGACAAAACAGATAGGCACGAGAAAGTATGCCGAAGGTCAGGGGAACGGTATCATGCAGGAAACATTGCGATACCCGACTGTTATTACGGCGGATCAATGATGGTCTGGATAGAATCAGCTGAGATGATTGTACTGACCTCATTGTACTCCACTGCGGCACACTGACTGATACCTTGATGAGATCCTCAACACCCAGGTAAGGTTGTATGCTGGTGCAATTGGTCATATGTTCATTTTAACCGATGATAATGCCCACCACCATACAGCCAATGCCGCCTAAAAGTACTTGGACAGACAGGTTATTACTCGTTTGGACCGGTCGACCCGATCCCCGGATCTTATTTCCAATGTAAATGTTTGGAATGAGCTACAGGTCCGTCAAGTCCAGTCAAAAAGCACCCAGGACCTTGAAAAAATATAACAACTGGTAACACATTCTTAAATGATGTTTGTAAATGACTGTGTCATTTCAGAAATAAATCTAATATTTGACATACGTCCCAAGATAGGTACACAATTACTCCTGTACTTAGCAAATTTTAGGTAGTACATCTCCTTCTCACTCTCCCGCCGCTTCACTTGTCAACAGCCGAGTAACATATTTAATTTATAATAATCTTTATATCATTAAATATTATTGACGGAAACCTAATTATATGAATACTACGAAAGCCGTTAATCTAAAATTAACGTTATTTTATCCGCATACCAACGTTCGAGATTTTATTTTATCCTCTGCGATTTTCTCTTTATAATTGCGAATATGTTCAGGTCATTAAAACTGTTAGCAATACATATTTGTTTATAATTTATATAAATGTTTCATAGAATTGTGTGAATATGTCGATGTTTGAACGTCTATACTTTCAAAAAAAGCTCTATCAATCAAACAATGCAACAGTGGATTTATTACCCTACGAACAATTAAAATTTAAACGAACGTCAATATTTCGAGACATTGTCCCATTTCGGAAAGTTTTGGCTATGATCGATTACTATTTTTGTCGTGTCAAATAAATTTAAAGAAACACTTATAGTAATATATTAAGTGTTTCTTTGATATAATCAATTCTTTCTTTTCCTGGATTTGATGTCTATTCAAGGACTAATAATATTTTTCTTCACAATCAGAAATTTAATATTGTTGTCAAAATTGGTGAGTTTGTAGAACTCGACATGTACAATATAACTGTCAGTAACATTATATAACATTTTAGCATTTTTAGTACAAATTGCAAAATTAGTCCAATTTTAGCCTTTCAATTCCAGTTATATATTGAATAAGTATTTAAACATAAGAATAAAGAAAAATGCTCGAATGCAAATATGTACATTGGAATTTTTGTTTTATAATAAGATGTACCCTTTAGTATCACTTACAATTATTAGGAACATTTGACAAAAAATATATGTTCCTTGTCCATATGATATGGCTTATCTGAAAAAATATAGTATATATTTTCCCTAAAAAAACAATGTGCTTTAAAAATTGATTTAGCAAGTGGGGTTAGACAAGTTATATCCAAATCATATTTATTTTTAAAAAAAATATAAAAAACAAACATACCACAAAGGTTTTCCAAAATATCAATTTAGTTTGCATTGTTATCCCTATCAAACCATGAAGTGAAATGTAAACACACTATTCATGCATGCGCTTGATAAGCTGAGATCTTGTTATAAAATCCAATCTACAGTGTGTTTATTTGTGACTTTTTTCATATCCCACTTTAATGTTTTGTTTAAAAAGTGTTTCATTGTTTCAGAATAAAGAAAATAAAGAAACCAATCAAATTACATAACAATACAACAACTTATGAAATTTAATATTATTGATACTTCAACGTTTAATGTTAACTTGTCTAGCTACCATTTGAATATGTCAATTAGCCATGTGATATTGTTAAAATAACGTCTTATTATGTTTAAAAAATATGAACTTCTCATGACTCCGTATTTATATGTTAAATGGCAATGCTGATTTATCTAACTTCCATTTGAAAATGCCAGTGTGCCATGTGATATTGTTTGCGTATCGTTGTATTATGTTTAAAGAACAAGTGAACTTCTCAAGACTTCATATCAATATGTTTAATGACAATTTTTACATGTTTAACTACGTCTTTTTATGTTGACGTAGTTAGACAAGATGACCGAAGATGTTTTGAAACTGTAAACGAATATACAAAATAGGAGATGTAACCAACGAATCTCGCTTTTTTGTTTCAAAAGGACACGAGGTCTCTAATAGGATACCGTAGGCAAGTGCTTACAGACAACACGACACTTACATGTAAAGAAGTTCAGATGCTTTATCGGAATACTAAAATCATGTTTAACAGATTAGCAGGCTATTATGAGAAGTAAAGGTATTCTTTCAACACACAAAAAAAAAAAACTACAATTTTTAACAATTCAACGAGTCATGTGACATCCTCAGTGAAATTTTGAAGTTTTAACAATTTAACACTGCCATTTCAAAAAATAGAAGATTTGATATTCTCATATATCCATTTAACATATTGATACGAAGTCTGGGAAAGTTTTCATGTTTATTTTACGTAATAAAACATAATGTAAAATTATCATTATGCAAATAGAATGTTCAACTGTAGTCAGACACGTCAGCATAGTCGTTAAACATATTAATACGACATTTTAGAAGAAGTTCACATGTTCCTTCAACATGTCTTGATAAGATGTTATGCAAACAATGACAAATAGACATGTTCCAACTGTAGGTAGACAAGTCAGCATTGTCGTTAAACATATAAATACAAAGTCTTGATATTTATGGTCCTTCGGGATCTTTGATGCCAGCACTAGTAAGTGTTGAGAATTGAGTACCGCTCAAGCCGGTGCTAGGGGGCGTGAGGGATGTTGCACGTATTTATTATCTCACATGTACAAACTGAATCAAACCGATCTGCAATTATCTTGTAATTTTGTTGTGATAAATGCTTCAAAGGGATCACTTTGCATCCAGCTTTTGAGAAATTCACATGTTCTTTTAACATAATAAGTTGTTATGTTAACAATATCACATGACAAAAAGACATATTAAAACTGTAGTTAGGCAAGTCAGCATTGTCGTTTATCAATAAGAAGTATTGAGGAGTTAACATGTTATTTTGACTTGAATTACTACTATGACGTCATTTCTTTGTTCTGATCGTACTGTATTTTCTACTTTTTCGATAGATAACATGATATTTGATTGTAAAAGTAGTAATTTAAGTAAGATACTACTACTACGCGCCTCATGA